CCTTACACCTGTCCACTCCCTTCTCCATGATGTACGTGATCCTTGGTGCTTATGCTTCCAACTTTTTAAAGTGAAAACAGTCTTCTCCTCCATCCTTCCCTCCCACACACACTTTCTCACGAGCAGATACATACTTACACGAATATTCTCAGACCTCTTGCAGAACCACATATTTTGGGCATGTGCATAAAGCCATTTATAGGGATTTAATCATGAATCATAGACAGAAGATTCTCATTAGGCCTAAGCAGTGGCCTCTTGAAGCTTGTACAGTGCTTACAGCATCTCAAGGTGGGAAAACTGAACCTCTTAAGGGAGACCTACCTTCATAGCACACTCTCTGCATCTTAGTACTAAAAACTCATATAGAATCTCAAGCCCAATAATCTGACACAATAGAAGCATTCTGTTTAAGGTCTGGCAAATTGTGGGTTGTCAAAAACATTTGTTGAGAAAATGAATGACACTCTCCCACTCTTGGGGTTTTCAGGATAAAAATGTACAAAGGAGGACTTTAGGGAAAAATCAGTTATTTCAGGATGACTACTAGCAAGTATTCCTGGGATCGCTAAGTGCTGAAACAAATTGAAAATTTTTCCACAGTTAAACTTCAACAGGGCTGCGGAATATCGCTTGCAGATTTGCTATTTTTCTGTGACCGAAGTTGGGTCGTTAGTGTAAAATTGGCTCCATTTCTTGAGCCAGTTTTTAGGGGTTGATGTTTATCTTCTTCAGCCCACACAAAGCCCTCAGGGCCTGGGCACTCACACCACTACTTTTCCAAGGTCGCTCTTGGTCTCAAATTAGTTTTTACTGAAACTCTATCTTTATGTGGGTCAGGGCTTCCTTTTTCCTTAAAAAAACGTCCCCCCCACCACCAATTTTAGAAACAAACAACGACAGCATCAACAATAAAAAAAAAAAAAAAAAAAAAAAAAAACCCATGCTCCGGTTTCCAGAAATTCCTGCATTTCTTATTTCCGGTTGGCTTATTTAGAAGCATTTTTTTTTTTTTTTTGCTAATGAAGTTACAAGATGATTTCTTGAATTCACTCTACGCTTATGTAACTTTGCTGATTTAAAACTATCTCCTTTGCTAAATTCTTAACTGTCAAGTCTCTTTCTCCCTCCTTAACTATGGAGGGTCATGGTGGTGAAGTTGGAGTGGATTTTACACCATGTTGATCGCAGGTTCAAAGAATGCCAGTGCACTTTGCATTTTTGTTTTCATCCTCTGACCCCAAATTTAACAATCTTCTGCTTTGTAGCAGTTGTTACTACCTCCTATTTTGATCCTTTGGATTCACACTATATCTTCTAGATCCACTCTTTAGACTCCAAGGCATGGAACCTATGGGCTTGTTTCTGGACTCCTGGGACACACTGTCAAGAAAAGCACCTTGGACCAGTGGCTGCAACTTGAGGTTCCAGTCCACTCTCTGCCCCGTCTCCCCATCTGAAGAACAAGGAGTCTCTAGGCTCCTTTATGTCTCTTTCAAGTCCCAGACCCCCATCTGTTCTGGCATCCAAACAGATGATGCCTCCTTCCCTAGGCTGTGGAGAAGAAAATCCCAAAGTCTATACCTCTTTCTCTTAATATTTCTGCTAGTAACTGTGGAAAAAAATTTCCTTCTATCCCTTTAGTCTTTCCCATTCATTCAAGGCTATGTCCCTGATATGGGGACACATGGCCTAATTCTGCAGCCATGTGGATGTTGGCATCTGTGTGGTGATCAGTGTAGAATGCTTTGCTCTTCTTCAATCTCGGCTGCCTTATCATTCAGTTATTTCCTCCAGAGTAAAGATCTCGGGTCTGACGACATGTGTTTTGAGGAGGCCCCGGGCTTTACTTTTTCTTGGTACTCCTGGCTCTCTGAATTTTCTTTCTTTTTTTTTTTTTAAAGAGAGAGTGAGAGAGAGACAGACAGAGAGAATTTTTTTTTTTTTTATTATTTGTTTTCTGCGGACACAATATCTTTGTTTGTATGTGGTGCTGAGGATCGAACCCAGGCCGCACGCATGCCAGGCGAGCGTGCTACCGCTTGAGCCACATCCCCAGCCCCTCTGAATTTTCTTCACCCTCTCTGTGAGGTGGGGACCTGGCCACCTGGGCTGCAGGGCTGTGGCCAGGATGAATTGAGATGATGTTCTGAAGTCCTGCGTAGAGTGGCTGTCACAGTAAAGTGACTCTGTAGCATTTTGTTGCCGGTCTGAGGACAGGGATTTGGGTCTTACTTTACAGAACCCCCTCAGCATTGGTCTTAGACCCCCATGGAATCTTGGACGGATTGTGATGGACTATGAATAAATGAAGAAAATAAAATGATGATAGAAACTTCTAGAGGTTGCTTCCTGGGACTGGGTTGAGGTACTGGGCAGAGAGCACTTATTCCGAACTTTGAGGTTCTCTCCTTGTACCTTCCCCTGTTTCCAAGGAGGGGAGGGGGGGGTTAAAAAAGAAAAGAAAGAACTTTCCCCGAACTTTCCCATTCCTCTGTGGCCAGGCTGCAAAAGCTGAAATTCCATCCTGTGTTTGTTGTTGCCCTCAGGCCCGTTTCCATAGTTACCCAGATTCCAGGCACTGGCCCTGGGCCCACCACAACCCATCCCTCAAAGTCTCCCTGGCAGAGGAGAAGCGTTCCTTCTCCTTGTGACACATCAGAGCCAAGGGTGGGGGACTGCTCTCCTTCCCTCAGAGACCCTGCCCCAGCCCCACTCACGTGGGACCTGCTTGGTCTAGGTGGTTCTGTTTGGTCTCATCCTGGAGGGTAAACACAATATAACAGTGTCTCTTACTTCTCCTGTCCTCACTGGAGCTGAGGAATCGCTTTCTTGCACCAAACATTACACCCTTGGAAAACACTCCAGATGGTTCTCATTAAAATTCCAGTTTTTTTTTTTTTTTTCTCCCCAGTTCCATTCTCCTCAAACTGCTATCTCAGAAGTCAATCCCAATGAATAGAGTCTTTCAGAGACTCTGGTGTGGCCCTCCAGGTCCAGGTCCTCTTGCCAGTGGCCACCTGGTCCTTCGCAGGGCTGCTGGAGGGGGCAGTCCCATGAGATGCTTTCTGTGTACAGGAGAATTCAAACACCTGGGGAGCTTCAAGGGGCAGAAGTCCCTTCCTAAAGGATCCTGGCTCTGATGGTGCCTGCAGAGGGACTGTACCCAGGGTGTGTCAGTGCACACTATAGCCTCTCCAGGTACCGAAGACACTAGCTGCAGCTGGAGGAGGTACTTACTCCAAGAAGCTGGATGGGGGGTGGGGAGGAGGGCTGCCAATGCCTTTGGCCATAATTGCAGATGAGCAAGCCACAGACTCTGCTCCAACATCTGGAAAAATCTGCTTGTGCAGGAAAAGCATGCGTGTCCCAGGATGTGTCTTTAATGTGCTTTTATTTTCAACTTCATATTATGAAAAGAGAGTTTTAATGCAGAAAGGTTGGAATAAGATACAGTGAATAGTTTTACCCTGCTACCTGGACTCAATAAGTGTCACATTTTTGTCACGTGTGCCTTCTCCCCCTGACACCTTTGTGTTTCTCTTTCTAGACAGATACTTGCATATCTTTTCTTAGGTTTTTGAAAGTTGGAATCTTGCTTCTATAATGTTCTCTAAATATTTTATATGTGTGTGTGTGTGTGTGTGTGTGTGAGAGAGAGAGATAATATATATATCATTATACTATACATGCTGTTTTGTAATTTGCTTTCCACTTGGAAGTATATCTAAGATCTTTCCATACTATTACTAGCTCTGCCTCATTCTTTGATTACTGCAGAGTATTCCAAAAGAATGGCTGTAGAATAATTAATTATACCCTCTTGACGAACATTTCAGCACATTATTATTTTTTTTCCATTACTCACAGTAGTGCAATTAATATCCTTGGGAAATATTTCCTTAAGGACGTACACCAATAGTTCTCTTTGACAGAAACCTTGGAATGGAATTGCTGGGTTGGATGTGACACACATTTTACATTTGGATAGATATTGCCAAATTGCTTTTTTTGTTGTTTTTCTTCTTCCCTGGTACTAGGGATTGAACCCAGGGACACTTTACCACTGATCTATATCCCCAGCCCTTTTTATTTTATTTTGAGACAGGATCTCGTGAAGTTTGTAGGCTGGCCTCAAACTTGTGATTCTCCTGCTCAGCCTCCTGAGCCACTGTAATTACAGGTGTGTGCCACCACATTAGGCTCCAACTGCCCCTAAAAATGGCAGTTATGAGATATATTACCTCCAAAACAGCATTTTCTCTCACCCTCACCAATGCCAAATTTTTCCCCTTTTTTAGGTGTTAACATTCTGATGAATGAGAAATAATAACATTGATGCTGTAATTTACATTTCTTTGATTATTAATAATGTGTCAGAATTTAGCTACAGATGACAGAAGCTACTCCAGTTAGTTTAAGTAGAAAGAAATTTACTGTAGGGACTTGTGTTTTTAAAATTTTGCCAGATGAGGTGGAATGGAGTCAGGTGCTGTGGCACTTGCCTGTAATTCCAGCAACTTGGGAGGCTGAGGCAGGAGAATCACAAATTCAAGGCCAGCTTCAGCATCAGCAAAGCCCTAAGCAAAGTAAAAAAAGTATAGGGGCTGGGGATATAGCTCAGTGGTAAAGCACCCCTGGGTTCTATCCCCAGCACAAAAAAAAAAAAAAAAAAGTGGAGTGGAAGATTCCAGGTCTGACTCTTAGAACTCCAGCTTAGAACTGACCCACCAAGAAAGCTCCTCCCCCCCAGCAGCAGGACCTGGAATCTGGGGAGGAAGCTGGGACCCAGTTATAGACTTGGCAGCCAGGAAGTCTCAGTCATACCTGGTTTCCAGAACCACAGTGTCTCAGCTGCAGAATGGTTTCCCACATCCTGTCCATGACACCCACAAAGCTGGAGACAAACTAGACACTGAGGTCATTGCTATTGTTGGTGCAGGGAAAAGAGCTAAACCAAAACACTAATCAAGGACCCTCTCAATCCTGTTTGCCAACAGAGTTGTAGACCTTTGGAGAGTACGTCTAACCAGAAGCCAGGTCGCACGCAGAAACTCAGCTCAAAGGGAACTTGGAAATTCTAGGCTTTGGCTTTCCGGGCTCCAGCAGGCATCAAGGTCAAGTACAAGGTCAGCATGGAGCTTAGGAAGTCAGTCTGAAACCCAAACCATAATCATGTCTTTATGCTTTGAATCTTTTTTTGGCATGAACTTTCTGACTATCTCCATTGCCTATTTTTCTATTGGGTTATATTTTTCCTGTTAATTGATAGAAATTTGCATGGGTTACTTGAAGAATAATTTTTTTTTGTCTCTTATATATATTACGACCACCTTCTATTTTAATTTTATATATTTTTTGTCATGTGCAAATTTATAATTTACTTTTATACTTTTGGGTTTTGTAGCTTACTTAAGAATTCCTTTCTACCTGAGTTTTCTAAAGCACTCAACTACTTTTTCTTATAACATTCTTCTAAATTTTTTTTATGGTTAATTCTTGAAACCATCTCTAATGTTTGGTGTGAGGTAGGGATCCAACTTTGTTTCCCACCACACAAATGGAAAACCATTCATCTCAGTACAACCAGGCAGTGTTTTTTTTTTTTAAACTTACTTTAAATTTGGAAAATTTTAAAAATATATAGAATGATACATTATTTAAAAATATATAGAATTATCTCTTTCCTTTTTCTGAAGCAAACACAGGATTAAACTTTAAAAAATGTTATTTCACATTTTTTTGCTATCTAAAACCTTCAGAAAATAGTGCTTGGCATATCTTGCAGCACATATACAATATAATCCCTAATCACAAACTTTGGGTCCCCTTCCCCTTGAGACCAAAGTTCAATTGCTGACTAGCTCTCTGCTCAGCACTCTGCCCCCCAAGCCCCCTCCCAGGTTTGTGCAATCTTACTTCCCTTTGCTTAGAAGGGAGGTCACATCATTAGAATTAGCTGACAAAAGCAGAAAACGTATGCCGATGTCTGTGTCAGCAATTTCTTTATGACATTGTAAATCTATTTATGATGCTTCTCTCACCTACTGGTATTTCTCCATGTGGTCACTATTAGTATTTGGATAGAATAATTCTTTGTTGCAGTGTATTTAATGATGTTGGTCAGGATCCCACTAAATGCAGCAGTGTTCTCTGTCACCCACCCCCTATTCCAGTCATTGTGAGGACCAAAATAAATAAATAAAGAAATAAAGAAAAGAAAAAAAGAAAAGAAAAGCTTCCAAACATACCAGCCCTCCATCCCCACCATTAGTTGAGTGGAAGAAAGAGATCAAAGCAAAAACTGGAATTGAATCACAAGTGACACAATGGCATCAACTTTTTTTTTTGAGAGAGAGAGAGAGAATTTTTTAATATTTATTTTTTAGTTTTTTTCGGTGGACACAACATCTTTGTATATGGTGCTGAGGATCGAACCCGGGCTGCATGCATGCCAGGTGAGCCTGCTACCGCTTGAGCCACATCCCCAGCCCAATGCCATCAACTTAAAGCACCTTCTCAATTCCCCTTCTAATCTCTAGATGTCCAAATCTAGCCTTTCAAAGGCTACTGTTTCCACAAAGCTTTCCTAAATTCCCTCAGCTGTAGTAGATCCATTCCTTTTCTGACTCTGTCTTCCATCGATCCATCCATCCAGTGGTCTATTTATCCAGTACACATTTGTTGAGCATTTATTGTGCATTAGACACACTGACCGCTTTCTTACAGCTTTTTACATGAGCATTTTATCTGCCTTCACACCTTGTGACCTCAGGCAGACTCCCATGTCTGATTCCACCTTCTCACCTCCTAAAGTGCTTTGCCCAGAGCTGGTGCTCACTGCTGAATAGTAGTGGAATAAAAATTATTGAAGGCAGGGGCCATCACTGATTGCAGTGCACCATGGCACTGTAATCCCTGCAGTTGGGAGGCTGAGACAGGATGATCACGAATTCAAAGCCAACTTCAGAAGATTAGCACCACCCTAAGCAACTCAGCCAGATCTTGTCTCTAATAAAATATAAAAAGGGCTGGGGATGTGGCTCATTGGTTAAGTTTCCCTGGGTTCCATGCTTGTTACCAAAAAAAGAAAAAAACTTACTGGATGCAAACACAAGTTTTGACACACATCCCAGATCTTTATTCAAATGGCATAGAAGCCAGGTACAGTGGTGCATACCCGTAATCCCAGGTACTCAGGAGGCTGAGGTAGGAGGATCATAAATTCAAGGCCAGCCTTGGCAACTTAGTAAGACCCTGTGTCAAAATAAAAATAAAAATGGCTATGGCTGTGACTGTGCCCAGTGGTAGAGCTTCCCTGGGTTCAATCACAGTACAAAATAATAATAATAATAATAATAATAATAATAATAATAATAATAATGAGAATGTTTCTTTTAAAACAATGGCTGGGTATGGTGGCATATATTTATAATCCCAGCGATTCTGGAAGCTGAGGCAGGAGGATCACAAGTTCAAGTCCAGCCTCGGGTAAGTTAGGGAGACCCTAAGCAATTTAGTGAGAACATCTCAAAATAAAAAATAAAAAGGGCTGGGGAGGTAGCACAGTGATAAATGTCTCTGGGTTCAATCCCCAGTACCAAAGGAATAGATAATAATAATAAACAGCAAGATGTGGTGGTGCACACCTGTAATCCCACCGACTTGGGAGGCTGAGGTAGGAGGATTGTGAGTTCAAAGCCAGACTCAGCAAAAGCGAGGCTCTAAATAAAATACAAAATAGGGCTGGGGATCTTGCTTAGTGGTCAAGTGTCCCTGAGTTCAATCCTTGGTAACCCCCCCAAAATAATAATAATAAACAATGTTTTCCTGATTTTCACAATGTTTACATTATTATCTGAAAAGATTACCCACAATCTCACCACCTTTTTAGGACCTAAAGTAGAAGGTGACATTTCTTTCCTCAGTCAGTCAAATCTTGTCCCAGATAATTACTGTCAACAATCTGTTGTCTTTCTTTGTAGACTTCATAAACATGTTTATGCAAATTCACAGACACCTATGCCCACATATATGTTTACCTAATTAGCACATATACTAAGAACCATCTGAAACATGAATTTAAGAATAAAATTACTAACTTATGAAGTGAATATACTATGACATTTAACTAAAATGCATGTAGTCTTTAAAACTACAAAATATTTTTTCACACATTTTTATTCCCCAACACTGGGAGGAAGGCTCAGAGAAGTTGGCAGACAGTTTCCTGGTCCCACAGTCAGTCAGGGGTGGAACAGAACTTGAAACCAAGGTCTTCTGTTTCTGAATTCAATGCTGTTTCTACCATGAAAAGTAATTCTTGAAGGTTATTTGGGAATGTTATTTAAATAATGAAATTATTCTTTGTTGAACTTCAGCATGTCAATGCAGAATTCCTTTGAAACACTTAAATATTTTATTTGATAACAAACAATAACTAATCTTTATAAAGTGCTTATGATGAGAAGGATTTTGAGCCCAGGCCTTACTGCCTTCAAGGTCCCTATACTTAACCATTGTACTTTTCAGCAGTTATAAAATATATATGTGTGTGTGTACATGTATGTATATGTGTGTATATACATATACATGTGTATATATAGACACATATATACACATATGCACATATCATATATACATGATATATATGTATATATTACATACAACATGTAATTTTAAATGAATGACTATTAGGTGAAACAAAACAAGGTGTGAATTTGACATGAATTCTACTTTAGAGATGTTTGTGATGGGAAAGGGAAACAAGTGTGATGTGTAGACTAAGATATTTAGATATATGCTTGAATATAAGAAAGGAAAAAAAACCTTCAAGCAAGACAAATAGGAAGATACAGTAAAACTGACTGGGAGAAAGAGAGAACAAGAACAGAGTCAGTGGGGAAGAGAGAGACCAGAGCTTTGGCCTTCTCCACTTCTTTTCTCTTCCCGGGTACCAGGGATTGAATTTAGGAGTACTTTAGGAGTACTCGACCATTGAGCCACACCCCAGCCTTATTTTGTATTTTATTTAAAGACAGGGTCTCACTGAGTTAGTTGCTTAGCGCCTTGCCATTGGTGAGGCTGGCTTTGAACTTGTGAACCTCCTGCCTCAGCCTCCCCAGTGGCTGGGATTACAGGAGTGCGCCATCGTGCCCAGCCAGCCTTCTCCAGGACTCTCTTTTTTCTTGTCCTCTCCTAGGCTAAGAACTCAGATTCCTGAGCCCCTCACCTCTGCAGTCAGAGGGCAGCCCTGGGCCAGCAGGAGCCACGTGGAGACACGCGGGAGGCTCTGTGAACAGCCACACAGCCCTGAGCTGAGGGGCTGGATGGAAAGAGCCCGGATGCAAAAGCCAGGAAGGAATCCTCCCAGTGAAACTGGGCACCATTCTGTGGGCTTGGGGATGGGGGTGGGGCGGGACCACTGGAGACCAAGACAAGAGTGGAGGGAGCATGGGCAGAGACCTGGGAAACAGACCCCAGCACGGGCCAGGAGACCTCTCTGCCCTTGGGTGGCAGCATCATTAGGAAGAGGGTCTGAGTAGTCACCAGGGAGGGTCAGGGAGAGCTGGGATGGGTTTGTACATCAACCTCTCTCACTTCCTCTGGAGTCATTTGGTTGTTTTCAAATTCTCCACCCTTGGCCTTCTTCCCCTCTCCCCAACAAATCTGGTCCACAGTGTATTGTGTTCGTGCGTATTTATGTGTATATATGCACCATTGACCCTAGGTGAGAATCAGCTGGAAACACAGGAAATTGCAATTACCTGGCTATTTTTGACCTACAAAACCAGGCTTTTTTTTTTTTTTGTGTGTGTGTGTGTGTGTGTGTGTGGTTTGACACAATTGGGTACACTAGAATAAAAACGCAGGTAGAATCCTTTAAACTAAGGAATACCAATAATGATATGAGTTGACCATTGTTCCCAGTTCTGCATCTGTGCTTCTTAACACTTTCTTTCCATCAGAGGCTCTATTCGGAGAGGGGGATGTATAAATGTTGACTAAGAGCCAAGATGAAATTGAGGCGAGGACATGCCCTGGGGCTGGGTAATAATCCTGCCTCAAGGACTCTTAGCTGTCGCAAAGCCTGTCTCAATGCACTTCCTGCATCTCTGCCCCTTGCCCTATGGTCAGTTAGGCCAGCTTCCAGGAGGCAAGAACAATAGAGAGCCCCGGTCAAGGTGAGAAAAGGACTCAGCTGCTGCCCTGGGAGAGCTTACCAGGAACTGGAACCCCGTCCAGACGCCCCGGCTTTCTCTTGCTGCATGCCCAGGCCCTGTCTGCCTTCTATCACCCTGAAGGCAGACACTCAGTGCCTTGAGCTGTGTCACTCAAGTTAGTCACTGGCCAACGTGGAATCCCGACAGATGGCTGCCATAGATTTGGGAGGACTGGCTGCATAATTCATGGGGCCCCATGCAAAATGAACATGTGGGCCCTTTGTTCAAAAATTCCTAAGGGTCTTGAGGCAGCAGCAGCAGAGAATTGTACCAAATGTGGTGCCTGTGTGCGTGTCATGCACTCACCAAGGCAGCCCTGGTGGGCGAGCCACACGGGCCAGGGCCATCCATCATCTGGGCAGAGAAGGTTACAAGATATGGCTGTCGCCAGCCCTTTCAGTTCAGATCCTGCACACCTTGCTGTTTCCCACAGAGCTCACTGATGGCACAGCGGGAGGCTGGGGCAGGAATTTTAACGTGGATGAAACAGGATTAAAGAAAAGAAGCTTTAGAACACAGTCTTTCTAGAGCCTGATAGATTCTTTCAAAATGATGCCTAAATTATTCAAATGATTTCACCCCAAAAGCTGGAAAACAGCTAAATGAAAGCACCCCAGGTGTGAGTATGAGTTGGGGTCACAAGCAGGCAAAAAAGGTGATCCTATTTGTAACCATCTTTTTCTGCAACCACAGTTCTGACCCTTACCTGGTTCTCCTCAGGGCATGAATGATGGGCGCACAAAGTGGGCTGCCCAGTCCTACTGTGAATGACCAGAATCCCAGGGAGACAGCACTTTCTTCACATAAACCCTCAGAGCCCAACACTCTGAGTCACCCAGATATGCAGAATCTCTTGCAAGCAAAAAACTGCATTGATTGAGGATGCTTGGTTTTTAGAACTGACCAAAGATCCACTGGCGAGTCAACTTTCTAAAAGGAATTGAGCGCCCCCTGCTGGGAATTCATTGGCATTGACAATAAACTCTTCAAATGCACCAAAATCGGAAAATAAACTTTAGGGATTTAATCTTGTGTAAAAACCAGTGACAACAATATGAGTCGTGTCGACGGAGTTCTGTGACTTTGGTAATAGGTTGAACTTTTGAATGATTCATGTCTCCCAATTTCCTAATAAAAATTCTTTGGGTTCTCTGTCTCCATTATACAGACAAATATTTGGAAATTCTGAGTGTTCTGATAGGATTTTCTTCCCATTTCAGAAAGAGGTATCCACAGAGTCTTGCTAGAGGAGGTGACGTGGTACCAGGAGAGAGCACAGATTTTGAGACACAACAGCCTATACTGGAATGCATTTGTGGCTTGAGTGACTTGGAATACATAAGTCCTTTAACTTGAACAAGCCATTTAAGTCACATCTCCTGATGCAGGAGGACAATGATATCCACCTCACAAGTGAATTCAAGGGCTTAGAGATCCTCAGCACTTAGAGGTGTCTGATTAATCATGGCACCTCTGCTATGTGTGGGTCTAAGTTGGACTTCAAAGAATGGGCAGCTCCTGGACTCAGAATCAGTCTGGAGAACATGGGTTGTATCTGTTGTCCTATGTCCAGCTCAGCAAATCCAGCCCTGGGTCATGAAGGAGTGCTCGCCCTGAGCATATGAGTCTCTTCAGAGTTATACAGCCATGTCCCAGGATATTGGCTTCATGAAACTCCTTCAATGGGTAAAATGGGCATGTCTACCACTAAGGGACAACCCAAGTCCTTCTATACCCACCTTCATCTAGCTGGTCCAAGCTATCATCATCTCTCACTTAAGCCAATGCAAAGCTCTTTGTTTCCTGCCCAAATCCATCTTCCAGAGCAACACCCACATATAGAAATGTGTTTATACACGTGTGTGTGCGCGTGTGTTTCCTCTGTACTGGGAACTTAACCCAGGTCCTTGCACATGCTAGGTAAGCACTCTGCCTCTGAGCTGCATCCCCAACCCTTTTTAAAATATTTTATTTTGAGACAGTGTCTAAAAAAGTTACCAAGACTGGCCTCAATCTTAAAATCATCCTGTTTTGGCCTCCAGAAGAGCTGAGATCATAGGCCATGTGCTACCATGGGCAGTTAGAGTGACTTATACTTTTTAAAAATTTTGATTGGGCCATTCACCTGTCACGGGTTAAACTCTTTTGATGACTAAGGAAAAGTTTTAACAAGATCCTTGTCTCCTCAGTCACCTTTCTTGTGATGCCAGTCCCATTTCTGGACTTCACGGGACTTTTCTTTCTGTGTAATCAATTCCCACCTCCTGACCCTTCTCCCGTCTACCCTTACTCATCTGTTGCGCACACTAGAAGGGTACAAGGAATATCACATTTTTTTCAGCTGGGCTCGTGGCGTGTGCCTATAATCCCAGCTGCTCTGGAGGCTGAGACAGGAGAATCATGAATTCAAAGCCAGCCTCAGTAAAGGCGAGGTGCTAAGCGACTCAGGGAGACCCTGTCTCTCAATAGAATACAAAGTAGGGTTGGGGATGTGGCTCAGTGGTCAAGTGCCCTGAGTTCAATCCCCAGGATAAAAAAAAAAAAAAGAATATAATATTTTTCTATTTTCTTCAAAGCAAATAAATCTATTTGGCACTACTTTGCTACACTGAGGATTTAGGAGACACTGTCAGGGGAAAGAGTGTGTCCTTTCAGAGAGAAAGAGGGCATGTTCCTTGTACCCTCCAGTTTTATTGGAGCTCCAGAGAAGTTTCCAGAGAGTCCCTCCCAAGTTCACCTCTTGACTTTTGAGTGACATCAAACTTTTGAGCCCCCCCACCACCACTGTACAGAACAACTGTAGGTCATTTTAACCCACACTGACCAGTTCAATTAGAACTTGTTCTTACAGATTTTATGGGTACGGAGAATTATCCTTATCTCTCTGAGTTCTGGAATCTGGTCTGCGTAAGGATCACAAAAATCTCCCTACATCCCCCGGGGTAACTTGTGTTGTTCTTACAGGCATCTTAGGCCTGCATTTCTCCTGTAGATAACAGGTTACTTGCTGAGGAATGTAATATTTTTTATTGAGTTAAGCCGGGCAGGGCTCTTGCTAAATTGCTTTTTTAATGAACGCATGTGGTAGTCAGTATAGTGGGCCCGGTTTATAGAGTTACCCCCTTAACCTCATGTTCCCACAGCTCACCTCTGACTCCTACCTACCCCCACCAGCAAGGGGGCACACTTGGTGCTACTCCTGGCTTCAGACCCCCTTCCCTCCTACTCTCCCCTGCTTCCCAAACAAGACGTGGGGGTGTGTTCGAGCATCTCTGCTTCCTGCTCTGCACAGGAAGCATAAAGGACTTGACCACTTCTTTGGAGAGTGCAAAAAAATTCAGAAACTAAATTAGTATATTAAATTTATGTGCCATAAAAGCTACTTATCACCAGGTCTCCCCTTGATTATAAATCAATATAAATATAAATCAGGTTCCCCCGGTCACACACTCCATACACTCAGCAGTGGGCACTGTTGGTACCCATTCCCCAGCTATTGTGTTGGCTGCCAGAAGACATCTAGCTCTATGTCCTCTCTAGAGGACATAGAGCTAGATGTCTTCTGGGGATGGCAGGAAGGGTGGAGCGAATGGCTGAGCATTCATATGATGAGTGCACCTGGCTTGTTTCCTCAATGTGGGGAAAACCTTGAGTTGAAACCACTTCTTTGCTCAGCTTCTTTCCCAGCTCCATCCTGCATTCCTCATATGGTCCTCTGGAGAGCACAATTTCACTTGCACAAGAAAGCCTGACTTGGGCTTTATCTCTAGGAATCCAAACAAAGTCACATCCTCTATTTCTCTTTCTTAGCATGTTACGATTTGAAATCACAAATTTGTCTGGCTATTGGTTTAATACTTATGTCTCCCCACTGAGGAAAATCTAGATCTAGAATTGCAGAGGGTAGTTTATTGGGGGAACTTACTGACAGAAGTGTGGTCCTAGCAACAGCAAGACCAGCTGGATTCCTACAATTCCAATCAGAAAGAGGCCTCATGCTTACAGGTTTGGACAGAAGTGACTTTATCCTGGAGGGAATAAACCTGGTTTACCTTAGGATAATATCAGTCAGGTGCATGCCAGGAGCCAGGGGCTGGTTGTAAAGCTCCACACAGGACTCTGTCTATTTACAGTTTGCTGGGGAATGTGTGGGGAAGACCAGCTAAGGTTATTCAGTGGCAATCACAGTGGTTATGCTCAGGATGGCTCAGTCATGTCAAGCTGAATTCATACAACATGCTGTTAACTGGGAAGCTGGCAGGAACCAGATGCCTACATAGCCCTTTGACCTCCCCCTGCACCCACTTTCCTCTGGGTATTTTGGTAAGCACGGTTGAAGAAAGCCACTCTATACCACAAGCTGGGCCTCTTGTGAGTCCATCATCCTCAAGCCAGTCCTGTATGGACAGACTCCAAAGCTCCAGTTGACAGAATCTGAGTGGCCCAAGCTTGGGTCACTGAATTCCTGATACAGTGAGCCACCCTTTTGATGCCATATTGCAGGTTACCACCTTGGCTTATGAAATCATTCCTGGGTAGGGTGGCAATTTTAAGATCAGGGTCTTAAGCAGAAAAAAATAAATGCTGTCTTACAGGCCTCATATTCCATTTCAGATTCGGTCAAGACAGCTTTGTTTATCTGTTCCAAGGAAAGGCTTGGCTGGACTCATAATTTGCCAAATTCCTAGATGTTAGTATGTTAACTATTACCACAGAGAAGTTGGAGGAAAGGTATCATTTAATGAGAATGTGAAAGAACTGTGGTTTTCTGGGTACTTTCATTTTTTGAAAAGCTTAGTTTTCTCTTGGTATAAAATCTCTTCCCTATTATACTTCCCTTCCCCATGATTTTGCAATTTTTCAGTTATTGAAGGAACTGGTATCTTGGGAGGTCTTTCTTCTGAAGATAAATGGCTTCCAGGTTGGGCTATGAATGGAGCAGACCAACCTGCTGTGTGGGTTGGTGGAGAGAGGCTAGGACCATGTTTCTGGTTGAAATCCTAAAAGCAACTCATTGTGATGTACTTCTTCCTCTTAAAAGCTGGGTAAAGTGGGGCTGAGGATGTAGGTCAGTGACAGAGGGCTTGTCTAGCATGCATGAGGAGGCCCCGGGGTTCAATCCCTAGCACCACACACACACACATACACACATGCACACAAGGACACACAAAAAAATGAAATGAAATTAGGTAAACAAAAAGGACAAGATGAGCTAATATTTGAGCTAACAAGGAGACAAATATATATCAATGTGTTTTGCAAACTATATCTTCTTTATAAAAATGTATTGCTAAATACTGACTTTATGGTGTTTTGGTTATATATGAAAGGGCTTTGAGAAAATAAGAAATGCCACTATTGGATAAAACTAGTGGCCCATCTAGCCAGATGGTTTCCAGTTGTACCAAAGGCAGCTATAGGAGAGCAGAGGTAATGATCAGATAACTTTTTAATCTGTAAATTTATTTGTAGTTTGAAAATGGCATGGAAAATCCCAGGAATCTCAGTAATGAGTAAATAGCACGGCCTCTGTGGAGCATATGTGCCCATAGGCCCAAAGCTTAGAAGGCTTCTCAAGGTGGGGAACTACGAGAAGGCATGGATCCTATGTCTGGCTTCCTGTTTCTTTGCCTTTCCCTCTCATATTTTCAACCACTTAAGTCACAGTACATATGTAAGTAGCTGCAAAGTGTTAAACTTTGAAAGTAACGCAAAACTGGAGTTAAAAGCAAATGTTTAACCAGTCATGCTCAAACACAAGCAAGTGAGTGAAGAATTTAAGGTTTAAAGAGCCAAATATTCTGCATTCCTGAGAAATCTGTTTCCCATTCTGAATATTTTCACATTGCTCTTTGTTGCCTCACATTAAGAGGGTATACACTTTGTTGATTTATTACTCAAAGATCTGAATAAAGAGACTAAACGAAAACATTTTATCTCTCTATATTTTTGAAAATCCATCCATGAGAAAGGAGCCAAGAGTCAGTTTCCAACAGGGGGCACATTCTCATGGAGGTACTGCAAGGCCAAGTCTGTCCACTTCATTTCTTGTTCTTTCACGGATTCTGTGGTGCCACCGTTGTCTTGTTCAGGTTCAGGAAGTTCATTCTGAAAAGGTACAGTGACATTCAGAACAATACTCTGCATTAATATCTT